AAGATTGAATAAATCTAAAAGATAAACAGCTCACACAAAGAAGATATCAGCACTTGGAATCTCATGCCTTTAATACCAGCTCTAGAGAGATATATAAGATAGGAGCAGATAAATAGTCTGGGGCATTTTGGTCTCCAGCCATGTTTGGGCACTTAGTCTCTAGTCACACTGAGGGCAGAATTGTTTCAACCGGGGTAGAGGCAAGAACTACTGGCTTGGCTGCTTTGCTTCCCTGATCTTCAGCTTGAAGCCTGAACCCTAATACGTATCTCTGGTTTTTATTATCTAGTCTACATTATTTATAATAGCCACAAACTGGAAACAACCTAGATGTCCCTCAACCAAAGGATGGATAAAAAAAAATATGGTACATTTACACAATGGGGTATTACTCAGTGGTCAAAAAAAAAAAAAAACAAAAAACAATGACCTCTGAAATTTGCAGGCAAATGGATGGAAATAGAAAAAAAATCATCCTGAGTGAGGTAACCAATACTCAGAAAAAAAAACACAGTTGTACTCACTCATGACTGATATTATCCACTCATAAGTGGATATGAGACATAAAGTAACAGATAATCAAGCTATAATCCGCAACCATAGAGAAGGTAGGTAACAAGGAGAACCCTAAGAATAATGCATGAATTGCCCTATGAAGGAGAAATAGATAAGATCTCCTGGGTAAACTGGGAGTATGAAGGGTAGAGGAGTATGAGGAAAATATGAGAGAATGGGATGGTTCAATTGCGGGAGGGACAGAGAGGGAGAGCAAGAAAAGAGATACCTGATATCTTGATAGAGGGAACCATTATGGGGTTAGGAAGAAACCTGGTGCTAGGGAAATTCCAAAGAATCTACAAGGATGACCCCTGCTAAGACTCCTATCCAGAATAGAGATGGTACCTAAACTAGCTTCTTTGTAATCATATTAATGACTGCCCTAATTGTTACCATAGAACCTTCATCCATTAATTGATGGAAGCAAATGTAGATATCCATAGCTAAGAACAGGGCAAAGCTCCTGGAGTTCAGTTAAAGATGGGGAGAAACATTATATGAGCAACGGGGTGTCAAGATCATGATGCGGAAACCCAAAGAAACTGCTGACCCTGAGCTAGTGGGAGCTCATGGACTATGGACAGAGAGCTGAGGAGCCTTATGGGACCAAACTAGGCACTCAGAATGTGGGTTACAGTTGAGTTGCTCGGTTTGTTTGTGGGGACCTTGGCAGTGGGACCAGGATTTATCTCATATACATGAATTGGCTTTTTGGAGCCCATTCCCTATGGTAGGGTATCTTGTTCAGTCTTGATACACAGGGGAGGAACTTGGTCCTGCCTCAACTTGATATGCCAGGCTTTGTTGACTACCCAAGAGAGGCCTTACCCTCTTTGAGGAGGAGATTGGGAGAAGAGGGAGTAGGAGGATAAGAGGGAGGGGCAACTATGACTAGTATGTAAAATGGAAAAAATTAAAATAAAAAAGGAACTTGTTATATCACTTGTTCAGGCTCATGTCATAATCATCCTAAAAGATCCTGACCCTCGGGGGAGCTGCCAGTTGCGGGATTCCTGCCTGGGTCTCGTCACAGCTTTAGCCCCCAAATAACACGGGAGACACTATATTAATTATGAAACTGTTGACTGTTTGCCATGGTTTCTTAATGGCTAGCTCTGACTTAATTATTAACCCATAATTACTAATATATATTTTTATAAGGTCTTATCTTACTGAGGACACAGCCTCATGCGTTCTCTCTTCCGGGGATAACATGGCAACTCCTATTCTTGACTACACTTCCCAGAATCCTCCTTGACTCCTAGGCCCACTATCTTGCTTCCCTATTGGCCAACAGTGCTTTATTTATCAACCAATAAGACAACATATACACAGAAGGACTTCCCCCATCACTCGGCTGTGTGCAAACCCAGGTGTGGTGGCACATACATTTAGTCTGTCTTATTTACTCTTCTATTGCTTTGATAAACACCATGACTGAGGCACCTCATAAAGACAGTGTTTGAATTGAGACTTACAGTTTCAAAGGATTAGAGGTCATGACCACCACAGTGGGGAGCATGGCAGCAGAAAGGGAGGCATGCCAACAGACTGAGATACATGAGAATCTTTCTAAAAAAGGAAGTTGTGTAAGGTAAGCAATAGGGAACAATGGGCAGTCACCATTTTCAGTCTCACCGCCCCCCTCTCCCCTGCACATACTCCTGTTCTCCTGTCTCATTTGTTCCTTATATTCTCTTATCTACTAATATAAGACATAAGTAGTGATAGCAGACATGACACTGTAGCTTGATTTTTGTTTAATATACTTGTCTGCTTCTCCTCTATTCTTATTCTTTAGAGACAGGCTCACACAGTCACCCCAGCCTGAATTCTATCTAAGCTCTAACTCCAGCAGCCTCCCCAGTGCTGAGACTATGGGCTTTTGCTGTTATTAAATTTGGTCTTTGCACTTCAGGGATTGAACCTAGGACCTTGTAAATGCTGGACTATTGTTCCACCCCTGAGGTACACCCCTAGCCCAAGCTTCACATCTTGATGAGGTCAAGAAATTGAACTGTTGTTCTTGCTGTGGGTACAGTGGTTGACAATCAGTGCTCTGATGTTCTGATTCTTCTGAGTTATTAATAATTATGTAAAATTCTTTACAACTTTTGTTTAGTTTTGTTTTCAAGGCAGAGGTTTACTTGACATCCCAAACTGGGTTAGAACTCACTAGTGTTCAGGGTGCCAATTCCTGGCAGTATTACTACCTCAAACTGTTGGCACAGGTCGAATTGTTAATCTAATTAATATTTACAAATAAAAATATCAGGAGTCAAGATATTGGAGTGAGTAAGAACCTGAATGATCAGAGAATAGGGCGCAACCTCCAGCTGCTTCCTATGTCTTCCATTCCTGTCTATAAGGGATGAGATTCTTTCTCAGTCCTGCCTTATTATTTTCAGTCTCCTCTATGTCCATAGTCATCTAAATCTCTATAGTCAGTTAGTGACTAGTTCCTCCCTCTGACTCCACCAAAGCTTTATTTGCCAGAACACAATCAAAATATCACACAACAACAGGTGTTAGAGGAATGAGCCCCATGTCTTTGTCTTTTACAGATTTTAAGTAATGCCTCCCCTCTTCTTTGTAAGGCCTTCCTGTGAATTAAACCATAATATGCTCAGACAGCCATCTAGATCTCCATAAACTTTCTCTGCAGACACAACTCCTCTCCCATCTCTGTGCAAAAGATTTGACTTTGTGCTTCAGTCTGTCATTAGCCTGTAATCCCAGCAAAAAGAATGAAGGTGACCAGAAGAATACAACACTAGCCACACTGCTCTTGAGTGGTGCCACAAATGTGTGTGATTCTAACTGTGCATTTATTTCAATCAGAGGAAAGGCTTTCCCATGAAGTACAATTATGGAAGAAATATTAAGCAAAAAGAAAATTGGAGACTTAGAACATTGCCTTTCTTGAATGAATTAATGATTTGACAAAAGTAAAATCATCTGTGATTTTTTTGTTACAGGTATTAAATTTTTCTCTTAAAGTAATTTATTTATTTTTATTTTCTTTGAGGTTTGCCTGCGAGTATGTCTGTGTGAGGATGCCAAATTTTGGAGTTATAGACAGTGAGCTGCCGTGTGGGTGTTGGGAATTGAACCAGATCCTCTGGAAGAGTAGTCAGTGCTCCTTACTGATAAACCATCTCTCCAGTCCCAGGCATTCTAATTCTTAAAACACAGCATGGTGATGTTTTTGAGTAGCTGGTGCACACTTTGCCTGCATGTAATGCTAGAATCTCACATCTAAATGCTGCCCTGTAACTGCCTTTCTACTGTCACAGATAGAGACATAATGGAGCTCTATTCAAAATGAGTCCCCAGTGGCTGCCTTGCGGGTACCACATTAACGTAAGTATTTATGATAGAGTGACCTGTCCTGTGTCACATGTCTGTCTTGCCTCCTGTCTGAAATCAGAGAGCCTGGCTGCAGGCTTCTGCTGTGAACATGCTAAAAGCATGTAAGAAAAGTCTTGTTCTTCTACCATAGGGCCTCTGATGTCATCCAGACATCCCTCAATTCCTTTCTGATATTGGGGCCTGAACTCGCCTAGGACTACCCACTATGCTATATTCTCTGTATCTGTCTATTTACAACAGTGTGAATGCTCAAATAAACTCCTTATTCCCCAGTAATCCCTCTCAGTGTCCCCATGTACCACTTACCTCATCTAAAACCTACCATATTCCTCTTTAAAAGCTAAACAAAACAAAGCAGGGTCTTACTCTGTAACTGAGCCTGGCCTCAGATGCACAGCAATCTTCCTCTCTCTGCCACCTGAGTGTTGGGATTGCATCAAAGCCATCATGCCAGACTCTGGTACCCAACCTCAACAATCCTTTATTACATTCACACTGATCACATTGAGAAGGAAACAGATAGGAACCATAGTGGATATCACTTACATGCCAGAAGCAATATAAGTTCCTAGAAACATTCTATTACTTATATATCACAATACAGCACAAGGCTAAGTTTATTGGTATCATTGTCAACACTATCATTCACTTTAAAATGGAAAAATCATGATTTTGCATACTTGATTAGAGACCAATGCAGCCCCACAATAATTATCTTCTCAAAAAATGTGATAATCAAATAATAATTATATATATCTAAAACATCGTGGAATACACTTGATGACAGATCCCAGAATC